GCTGATACTGGCTGATCCGGTAAGAATAAAATTTGACTATGAGGCCTTTAGTTTGCAGAATAGATTTTTAAAACTTCCTTTATTTATGAGAATATAATTGACCTGGAAGCCAATTAAAAGATTAATGACTACAGAGGTACTTTGTCAGAATATAAATATGGTTTGAACTATTTATTTTAATTTGCTTCACAAAAAAAGTTCTTCAAATATGGTAGGGATAAATAAAAATATCACAAAAACAGCAAAATAAAAATTAATTTTCTCAAACAAGTAAGTGTATGTAAAATCAAGGAGATAATGAACACTAATTTCATAGTACAAAATTAATTTGCTTCATTTTTCTTTAATATTTGCATTGGTAGTAGTGCTCACATTAGCACCAAATTCAGACAAGATCCTAAAGCTAGTTTAGTATTACACTGCCTCACTGTAAATTCTGTTAAGGGGAAAAACTGAAAACCGTTGCTAAGGGATAAAACCTTTGCTGTTGACCATTTTAGACTTAAGATTTGCATGTCATTCTAAATCCAAAATTCTTCAAATATTCATTTTCCATAAGAAAAAGGGTTTTTAAGTACTCTTTCCTGAAAATTAGATAAAACATCCATTACATTCTCCGAAGGCAAGGGGTGGGTTGAAGAGTTCAAAAAACACATTAGAAAAGGTTTTTGGTTCATGCCATGTCCCTCCTCCTCAAGGGGAAGAAAATGTCTGCTTCTTTTGGGAATTATCCTTAATGATGTTCTTCAGTGCAAGAGACAAAGTATTAATCAATTTTGACAGTAAAACAGCATCTACTTTTCCTTGTAGAAAAGTAAAAATCATTGATATTAGGCAAAGGGGAAAAAAAGGGGGGGAAAAAAAAAAAAGAAGGCTATAGTTTTCTGGTACTTCATAATTGCATAAAATTGGCACTAGCCCCAAAAGATGCAGTTCTATCTGCTCCATACTGATCATTCCTGCCACCTTTGTGCTGGCACAATATTTTTATAACCACAAGATGAAATAGATTGTGAAAATTACCCTCCCTACAAAAGCATAATCTTTCTGACAGATTAGTATCCAATCTAGATTACCATATTGCCTGAGAAAATATTTGTGAGAGAAAATGGAAGGGACAGTGCAAGTGGACAAGGCTAGGTAGACTACTTCTTTCAGTAGCAGTGCTAGCTTACACTAACTTTAAAATACTTATCAGTCTAAAGGAAGGTTCTGGTTTCAGTTGTGTATGACACAAAAGGAACAGATAATCATTTTATAGTGATGCAATCAGAAGTAGCTTTTACTCTAGGGGCAGTGAGGTCTACCCTAACCAGAACTTTACAACTCTCAGTAAAATCTTATTTCTCTCTTATGTTGTGTGGATGGTATGCATGCTAGCACCAAACCTGGCACCACAATACATTGGAACAGAAGTATACACTGAAACAGGATCAATTTTGCACCTGCACAGTATCCCTCAATAGGGAACTCAACCAGATAATAAGCATTAGACACACCACTGAATACAATAAAGTATTTCCTGCAGTCTATATAAAAATAAAGTCTGCAGTCTTTATCCATAAGTGGGATGTATTGGTTCATGTTTCATAGCAGTAGACTTTAGAAAATATTTGACTTCCTCTAATTATTTCACTTGGGAGTTTAACATGAAAGACAGAATCCCAACCTAATTATAGCAGGTTCCCATTTAAAAAGGGTAAGTATCATTTTTACAATAGGAATTAAGGTGCATTTTGAAATCAGTATACTTCAACGTTCACCATACTTAGCAGTATTTCAAATATTAGAATTAAAATGCTATATTTATTCCTAGTGAACATGACAATTACCAATACAAAAATCATTTTTGTGCTCAAACCATATGTATTATTATACTGCAATTCCAAAAACAACATACCTGAACTCTGAATTTCCAGGTTGTTCCAACAGGAACACCAGGTATAGGACCATAGTGATTAGAAGGAACAATAGTGCATTCCTTAGTGCGACCAACACAAGCCATGCCCTAAAAAACATACCAGATAATTTGTAAAAGCTGATGCAGATCCAAGAAAACCAACCATTATAACCAACACATACTTCAAAAATAAATTAGCATAAAATTTATCAACAGCAGTTTTAAGTAATGTGTGTTTAATTTTCATTTATTTATTTACCTCTAGTCACCTTAATAATTTTTCATGCTTTAACTTTCAGTAGACAGTGGGCAAGATTCAACATTGCTTTATAGTCTGTGCAATCCAGTACTGAATTTTGTATAGTACATACATAAACACAATTATAAATGTAATGCATACATAAATGGTGAGCTATTTTTAAAATGCACTCTACCTTGCCCCAGTCTCTCTGGCTTTCAGTACTGGCAGATGGCATCTTTGCTTTCTTTTTACTCTGTTTGAGCTTTTCTCCAGCCTTTACAACTTCATTAGAATCATTTTTGCAGGAAGGACAATACCTAAAAAAAAAAAAAGTTTCAGTAAATTCTTAATTTCTTAGCAACAATATCAACACATTTCTTCTAGGTAAAATAGTGTTAAATTTGTTCATCCTGCCTGAATATTTTGAAGCTAAAAAATACATGCCACTTTTAATCAGCTGAGGACTCAGATTGAAAAAAAGAAACGAATCCAACAAGAACAAATACTGTCCATTTCTAAAACAAGACATTCAACTTTTTTTTTTTGGTAAGTGGGAGATGCAAAATATTTCACTCTTTTCATGTGATGTATGAGAGGTTCCCATGTTTCCTATATTTTCTCTTCTTTTCCTTGCCTGTTCAGATCACACAGGGGAGAGGAAAACTGAGATGAGCATATACTGCAGACTAACATTCGTGGTTAATTTCCACATCCTGCCCGCTCTTATCATCTACTTTTGCTGCACCAAATCTCACTTCAGATAACTGAACGTGGAACAGAGCTAGAATACCATCGAACACCCGTATATCCTTATCCTACCCCACCATGCCTAAGGCATCTGGAATGAGACTCAGTAGAGAACAAATGGGAAGAATACTGAATTATTTCTATATATTCCCTTGCATCATATGGCACTGGGACCCATTCCAGCCACCATAAAGCCATTATGGTAGAAAAAGGATAGGAGAGTGTGAGAAGCAGTGGTTAACGCAAAGGGAAGAAGGAGCATGCAGATCCTTGTATTACTTCTAACAATACTTTTTTTTCCCCCGCTGTAGGAGTGCCAAGGCAAAGGCAACTGCTATTGCTTCTGGTTTCCAAGGATTGAGTTTGGCCCAAAAGCCACTAGTGGAAGAAGTCTGATCTATAACAATATTGACAATATGTTTAGATTATTACTATTACTAACACTTTTACTTTACACTGTTTACTAAATACCTTTAATCTTTGAGTATGAACAGAAGAGCTAGTTACCATATATAGCAACAAGTCACTATGTATCAGGTATTTCACAATAATTGCCTGTTTACAGGGCATCTTAGTACTCTTAATGCATCTTTCTACACCAAAACCAAAAAATAAAATAAAAATATTCTAAAAATTGGAAAAAAAAATCCTGAAGCAACGATTTCCATGTCATTCTTGTTCAGTTTAAAGGTAAAGAATAAATTTTCCATAAGTTCCAGCTAGGCAAACTCCACTTGGACATTCATATTCAAGCTATGTTCTCCCCTGTTCATACAACATTGTCCTTAATAAAGACTCAGTAAATCAATTCCAAGTCCTGTGATCACTCTTTCTTAGAATCAGAGTAATTTAGATTGGAAGGGGCCTCTGAAGATCATCTGGTCCAGCCCCTGACTCAAAGTAGGGCCAACTAGGGCAAGTTGCTCAGGGCCTTGCCCAGTTGAAGTTTGAATATTTCCAAGGATGGAGATCCCACTTCTCTGGGCTCCAGTTTCAATGTTTGACCACTCTCAGGATGATTTTTTTCCCCTTATATCTAATTGAAATTTCCTGCATTCCAAACTGTGTCTGTTGCTTCTTGTCCTATCCCTGTGCACCTCTGAGAAGAGTCTGGCTGTCTTCTCTGTAACATATCACAATGTAAGCTCATAAGAGGGTAAATTTAACTCTGGCATTTCCTCCTTTACGAGGAAATTTGTATTCTCTGAACTTTTTCTATTTGAGAAAAAAAAATAGGATAACTCAGAGGAGTGTTTCATAAGAAATGCTTCTGAAACAGAAAGGGCATCAGAAAAGACGAGAATTGTTTTACATAATCTTGAAAATCATTTACCGTAACCAATAGGTCAAGAAAATCTTAGTGCAAACTAGAGACACTGGTATGATTGTAGTATCAGCATTCCTGTCAAACCTAAAAAAAAATGCTCTATGTTTGATGATGCAGAATAAATCAGAAGAAAGTTTTCTTTTAAGGAGAACGAATTTTTTGAAGTTTTTTTTTCTAATTAAACTTGAGGCATGAATATTTTCTTTCTTGTAGCCTTGTGATTAATATTAAAACATAAAATTATTTTTTTGTTGCTGGAGTGCCGGTATAAAGTCTTTTGGGAGTAAGGGGACCTGAAGAAGAATGTATGTACTAAAAAGATCTGTACTTTCAGAGGAAATCCTAAATCCTAAATAATATTTTGCCCCCCTTAATATTCTGGATGACTGGAGCAAAAAAACAACTCAGTTATACCCAAAAGTCCACTACAGTCAAAAAAACACTGCTTAAGGACTGTGACAAATTCTTAAAACACTATAGCACTGAGAATGCTTTCTATCATGATTTGGAAGCACTAAGATCTTCACATCACTTCCACAGGCAATGAGCAGGAAGTGAGTAGATGTTGGAGTAGATTAGCCTTATATGCACAACAGTAGAAAACCTGGATTCATATGCTGCCCAACAAACACTACTGAATAAAGTTTATATATACACCTGTGCACACAATCAATTTGCTAATACAATAGGAAGCACACAGCCAATAAGTGCTATATTTAGTCCCAAAAACTCATAAATATTTGCAATATATACTGAAAATATTGTGTAGATAGTGTTCAAAGTCAGCAGTTTTCCAAGCAAAGGAAAGCGAGGAAAACTCTTTTCAGTTCAGGAAGTTCAAAAGGAAACAGCCATGCAAATGTATCTCAGTGGGTACAGGTACACGATGAAAAAACCTCCACCAAATGCTAATAATCTCAATCTAAGTTACACGTAGATATAAATATAACTGAAATCATAGAATCATAGAATGCTTAAGGTTGGAAGGGACCTCTAGAAGTTATCTAGTCCAATCCCCCTGCACACGCAGGGGCACCTAAAGCATGTGGCACAGGACTGTGTCCAAGCAGGTTTTGAAGATCTCAGAGAAGGAGACTCCACAACCTCTCTGGGCAGCCTGTTCCAGGGCTCTGTCACCCTCACTGTTAAGAAATTTTTCCTTAAGTTCCTGTGTAACTTCTGGTGTTTCGGTTTCCGGACATTTCCTCTAGTTCTGT